TATTATTAGTGCTCCACTTACAGCAACCCAATGTAAATACATTTTGTCTCCAAATCCACCACCACTTGTATGAATCATAGCCCTGCCAAACGATGCAAATTCCGCTGCAATGGTTGTGTGCAGGAATTTTTCAGTATGGCATCTCCATGTTCAAGTTAACACTGCTTTGTGTGCAAATGCATTTTAAAAAAAGCCACCTTTTAAAGGCCCTATATAAAATAAAGTTTATTATTATTAATATTGATGATATTCTTCCTCCCAGTACTTGTAAAATTGTTGTTGTTATTGTTTTTATCCTGTAAAGCGCTTTGAGAAGCATACTGTCCATCATATTGTATTTCATTGCACTTTGACAGATCGTCTTATAATCACTTGTTAGAATATCCCCCAAGAGGATATTCCCCCCAAGAGGTATCCAGGTGAAACAGGCGTACAGTCTGGGGAGATCACCCATTTTCCATGTAAATAGTTCCCTGGTTCCGCACCCCCTTGGTCTCTGCCTCTCTCTCTCTCGGACTCGCGCTCTTGGCGGGCTTGTCTTGTGTTTCTCTCTCGTCTGGGTGCGGGAGTGCTGCTGGCGGGTGGTGACAGAGAAGAAATAAAGCACAGTTTTTAACTCCACAAGTTTGAGTCTGTGTTCATCCTCAACGAACCCAAATTCATTACATTGGTGTCAGAAGCGGGAGGATGGACAGTGAACGGCCGATGATTTTGGAGTCGGAGAAGCGCCAGTGTCCCCACCAGCCGAGTGATCCCCTAAAGCACATTTTGGGAGCGAGCAGCAGCCGCCAGGGGCTGGGATGACCCCTTAGCACTGCCAGTGGCCACAGCCCTTATCAGGGCTACCCCACGGTGACCTACTTAGCGGAAGGGGGGCCCTTTCCCGGGTTGCCTCAGGCCGTGTGGCAGGAAGGAGATACCAGACCAGCGGGGTCTAGCACGCCACCCCTGCTCCAGCCTGCGCCGGTGAGACCGAGCCGTTATAATGGCACCTGAGATCCCATGGCAGATTTTTGAGGCCCAGTTCCAGATGGCGGCCTGGGCAAACGGCTGGTCTCAGGTGGAGATGAGCCACCTTGCCGCCGTCATGGAGGGGAAGGCCTGCCAGGCGTTGCTGGTTGTACCTGGGGACCAGAGGTACAACTACGCGGCGTTGGCCGCAGCGGCCCTCTGGAGGCTTTTTGGCAGGAGAGGGGAGGTGACTGCTGTGGGCAAGGTTGGTCCAACGCTGCTGCCTAGCAGGAGAGCCACTGGGTCCAGTCGCCGCAGACGTGGCCTACTTAGTCCGCCAGGGTTACCCTGCTCTCCCGGAGGAGGCCTACTGGGAGATAACGCTCCAGGCGTTCCTCTGGGCCCTGGTGCCGACTGAGGTGCAGCGCCATTCAATATTAAGCGGATTTAAACATGCACAGTAAAGAGATTAAATGAAGCAACCAATGCACCACGAGTGCCGCCTGTTGGTCATTTTGGCCACCCAATCACGTACTGTGGTATAACGTGCTGACCTGTAGATAAATTTGCGCTGTATGGGGTTGTATTTTGCATTTTGAATGGCTGCATCTGTAAACATTCCATGCTGATAGTACCCCAATTTAATTGATGATTTAATGCTGACCACTGAAATCGCTGTGCCGTCCTTTGCGCCCATCATGACATATTACAAACTTGTTTACTTCTGTTATATTAACTGTTGAAGGTGTTTATCTATAGAGTATGTATGTGTTCACCTCACCAAAAGATCTACTTCCACGGGACCTTTATTTAAATTTTGATATGTTTCATTTTTACTTTTACTTTGCAAGGATGTATCGCACAGATCAGTTAAACTTCCCTCACATTCTTAAAAACATTTTTAGATTAAGTTCTCACCCACAGCAGATCAGATTGAGCCCTTTTTATTTTAGTACATCTGGCCCAGGTGATATATTTTATTATTTTTGTTTTTCTGTATTGTGGGTCACCTGTGTTTGCAGGTGTGCTTACAACAATACGTTAACTATATTCAGCAACTCCTTTAAGCAGTATTCACATACAGTTGTATACAAAAGTTTGGGCACCCCTGGCCAAAATACATATTTTGTTTGTGAAAAGAAGTTAACACAACCTCTGCAGCGAACAAATTTAAACTTGACATATTTCTGCAAATTTAAATGCACCGTTACTATTTATTAGCTGAATTTAACAGATTGTAAAAAAAATAAAATGGTAAATGTGGCATGTGCAAAAGTTTGGGCACCCTGTCTGTCAGTACTTAGTAACACCCCCTTTGGCAAAAATCACAGCCTTTTTCCTTTTGGAATTTTTTCCCACTCTTCCTTGCAGAACGCTTCTAGTTAAGAAATATTCTTAGGTCATCTTGCATGCACTGCATGTTTGAGATCTACCCACAGATTTTCAGTAATATTCAAGTCTTGGGACTGTGAAGACAATTCCAAAACCTTAATCTTTCATTTCTTGAAGTAGTTAATGGTTGATTTTGATCTTGTTGTAATATCTAACCTCTTTTCAGTTTCAATTTCTTCACTGACTGTGGGACATTAGCTTCCAGGATGTGTTGATACTTAGTAGAATCCATTCTTCCCTCTACCCACACAATATTTCCTGTGCCACTGCCTGCCACACAACCCCAAAGCAAAACAGATCCACCCCCATACTTAACAGTTGGTAAGGTGCTTCTCCTTTTTTTCCTCCAAATGTACCTTTAATTTATAATCTAATAATTGCTTACACTTACACTCTGCTCCCAGCGCTTTACAGGTAATGGGGACTACCCTCCACCACCACCAATGTGCAGCATCCACCTGGATGATGCGACGGCAGCCATATTGCGCCAGAACGCTCACCAGACATCAGCTGTTAGTGGGGAGGAGAACAGAGTGATGTAGCCAATTTATAGATGGGGATTATTAGGAGGCCATGATTGGTAAGGACCATGACGCTGGGGTTACACCCCTACTCCCTGGGATTTTAAATGACCACAGAAAGTCAGGACCTCGGTTTTACATCTCATCCGAAGGACGGCGCCTTTTACAGTATAGCAGTGGTTCTCAAACTGTGGTACGCGTACCGGCAGTGGTACGTGGCGTGCCGCCAAGTGCTCTTTCAACAGCAACCTAAGTGTTTCCCAGGAGGTCTCACATCTGCTTAGCTTCAGTGTGTTGCAAGGTGATATGGCTGCTGGAAATGTTCTATTGGAGATTTCTCTTGGTTTTCCGGATCTTGTCTTGACTTCAACTGTTCCCCTTAACTTCCATTTCTTTATGACATTTCTGATAGTGGAAATTGCAAGCAGGAAGCATTTAGATATATATATTTTATAGCCTTCCCCTGCTTTGTAAAAGTCAATTATCTTTATTTTCTAATCCTCAGTCAGCTGCTTAGAGGAGCCTGTTGTTGTTGAGTGTAAGCCCGACACCCCGAGAAGTTCAAAGAGTCAGAGAATTTATCAAGTTCTGTAATTGTCATCACCTGGCTTGGATTAAGTCAAATTAGTCAATTAAGTTCTGAGACTTTACAAACAAATAACACTAGTGGATCACCTGGAAGGGTGCCCAAACTTTTGTACATGCCACATTTAATGTTTTATTTTCTTCAATCTATTAAATTTAGCAAATAAAAAGTAACTGTGCATTAACATTTGCAGAAATATGTCAAGTTTAAGTTTGTTTGCTACAGAGGTTGTGTTAATTTCTTTTCACTTAGAAAATCACTAAAACATGTAATTTGGCCAGGGGTGCCCAAACATACAGTATGCATAAAACTGTACCACCACTTGAGGTCTTACTTACCTCACAAGATGATTATCCCATTTTTAAGTGACTACGTTTAGCTGACTTACCTGTGAGTAGGAAATTAGTAGTTTTTTTTTCTGGCAATAAAGTACATAGTATTTCAGTTCTATGTGCTGTGTAGTACAGTTTCTTATACTGTAGTAATCATAAGTCCTGGGTAAAAAACACTGACCTTAAGATCAGAAATTGTATACTGATAGTCATCAGACAGTCCGTATCTGCCTTGAGTCTGTAGGCAATTTTGCAATAGTAGTGCATTCCTGAGTTTCACCTTGGATCCTACTAATGCTCTTACTCCCCATTATTGTTTAGCCTTTTTTATTAATAAATAGTACAGAAATATAGCTTTTAGTCTTTATGCACCATTTAAATATGTAAAAACTAACCATTTTTTATAATTACAGGACGGGTGAGGAGCTTGAGTAGCTCACTATGGATGTTAACACATTTAACTGCACTACATCTGAATGACAACAGCCTTACCCGCATTCCACCAGACATTGCTAAGCTCCAAAACTTGGTTTACCTGAACTTGTCGTCTAATAAACTCCGTAGTCTTCCAGCAGAACTTGGAAATATGGTCTCTCTCAGGTAAGCGTAGAATAAGCAATGAAACCCAAAGAAATTGAACTGCATATCTGTCAAATTCATGAAGAAAATTTATTTTTATAATACATTATCTGTTATCTTTCAAGATGACAAGAATCAAGACAATTTTTCATGCAAGTATTTGGGTTAAGATTTAGAGACACAAGGGATTTTTGAAATTTACACATATAAAATTAAATTATTTGGTGAAAAATAAATTTACAGTAGATCGTTTAAAGAACAAACGCCGATTTTGTATATTAATTTTCAGAAGTTAAACATTTGACAGCTTCAGTTTCTAGCTTTTATTTGTAACCCTTTATTTTTTCAAAAGGATAATGCAGTTTATCTTATGTTATTTAAAATGCTCTTTTCATTTAGGAATTTATCTGAAATGGTGATCTTCAGCTTGATGCTTAAATGACACTAATCTGGTGTAATTAATAGGTGATGTGTTAATGAGTTTCAAAGCATTTTCATCTGTATAAAATGATGTCTTCAAATTTCTAATTGTATCCCAAGTGACATGGCCATTCTGTTTTTTTTCAGTGAAGTTTACAGGGTTAAATATATGTGAGAAAATATTTTTCTCTGTTCATGATGGATATATTAGCATATTTGCTGGGAGATCTTTCAATGGTGACCTGTTGAATGGTGCTCTCTGAGGTAGAATTCCATAAATTAAAACACCTAGTTTTACATGTTATTTAAATATTTGCATTTACACATGTTTTTTTTAGTTATTATACCAACTCCTAACGATTTGATTACAGTTTGTCGGGGATTGGAAACATCGTTATCCTTGAATTGCTATATTGTCAGAAGATGTAGTTATGTAGTAATATACATGTGGAATTCTGTGTACCAGAGTGGGGTAGTGGGGAAAACAGCATTACTAACATTTTTTTAAATGCTTCTTAGTTTATTTAATATCCACTAGTGTGTGAGATGTTTATAAAACTGTTATTTTGTTATCATTACGTTTGGTTCCTTGAAAAGGAATAGTCATCTTCAATAGGAAATGCTATGTCACTGCTTTATCGCTGAGACGGTATACAAAACTTTTGCTGGACTCTGCCACAGCACCTAGTTCTGCTCTTCTTCCCCTCAAAAGACTTAAGATTGGCTGTCAGAGATAACTTTTTGCCAATGTTGTGAATCTGGAGATCACCTTAAAATGACCTGAATGATAGCGATCCAAAACTCATGATATGACTAATGGTAGTAGCAGCAGCATGACCTCTGAAGTTTCCAGACATATTTTGTAAACCAAAATGCTTCCATGCTTACTTGTACTTCACTATGAATCACAATGACCAAAACCATATGGGCAGTGTAACCGTGGAGTTTAGAATTGGGAAATTTTACACTGGATAATTCAGTCTTCAGATTTAAATGCAATTGAACATACATTTTAAATGCTGAAGAAATAATTTAAATCATAACACCTCACGAGTAGACAAGAAATTAAAAGTACCTGCTAAACAGCATCTCAAATTGTTTGGTAAGCTCAATGGGTCACAAACTTCGTGCAGTTATTTTCTTAAATGGATATGCAAACAAGACTTTTTATACTCTGAACTTCAAATGAAGGTATTCTGATGTTTATAGTATCTTAAAAACACTGGTGTATTTTTTATCTAATAGGATTAAACTTATATTGTGTTTATTTACATTATGACCATAAATGCAAATTGCTTGACTAAAAAGCAAAAATAAGATTTTACTTTGCTGTATTTGTGGATTTGTGGCATTGTACTTCTTGGAAGAGCTCAAAAAGAGCTAAAGAACTGTATTCCAAAGGGCCTCTGGATTCCAAAGGCTACTCTCACAGGGACTGAAAAACTAGGCATCAAGATAATGAGCAAGCAGGCTCCCTTTACCCTTTGTTGTAACATGCAGAGGTAATCATTAGGAATACACACCAATAGATATTGATAGTGCAGCAGGAGACAAATATTCCCTATTCATGCAAATACTGGAGGATGGAGAGCCCTCAGTACTGATCTTTAGAGGTCTTGAGCTTGAAAATCTTGGGTCACAGGTGCCAGAGTACCTTCTGCCTCGCTCAAGTTGGCACACAAGCTACTGGAATGACAGGAGCTGCAAGGTCCAGAAGGAGCACCAGAACAATTGTTCCCAACTGCAGCACATTAATTTGTGTGCACCACTCCAAGAAGCCTTCTACAAGTTTTGTGCAAAACGTCCCCAGGTTGTGGAGCAGGTGATAATTACCCAGTGGTGTAGTGTTGTAATTTTGGTTGAGCCACAATGTGTGAGCTCACATGTAAGATAGGGGGATCTGGCAGTTTGCCATTATCAAGCCAAGCAACTGTTAAAAATGGAAGGTTCATAGAAATGGGCTGATTTTGAAGCACGAGGATAGCGGGGAGCACCTAGCGTTTGAGCTGCAATCAACTTTACATCATTGATGTGGAAAATAGGGATGTACCTAAGGTGCTTTGTGAGGGTGTTGTAGCTGTTCCTCCAGTTCACTGCTAGCTCATGATCCATCAGGTGCAAGAGCATATGAAACACCTGTGTGTAGAGTGCCTGATGTATTATGGGAGGTGTCAGTTATCTGAATTATTAAGTATGCAAACCCATTGGAGAGAAACAGGTAAAGGTTTATTCCATGCTGAAAGGAAAAGAAAAAATGCAATGTGTCAGCTATGGAACCTTTTTTCAGGTGTGAGGGAGAGAAGTAAACTATCAGATAAGTAAAGCATCAAGGAACAAAAGACAGACTAGTGAGGGTGTGGTGTGGTGCAGGGAGTAAATGGGCAGTTGAAAATGAGTGTCCAAACTCAGGGAGAATGGGAGGAGAGGAGTGGAAAGCCAAAATCTGCACATGAATTAAGAAGATTTAGGAGGAGATGAGTCCATCATTGATGGAACGGGGAAGGGGGAAGCCTGCTGGAGGTGGAGTGGAGCTAGGACTGTTTCTGTGCAAATAGGGAAAGTTGTTTGTGTCTTGGAACACCTTGTATGTTTGTTGAATCCCTCCAAACTTGGAGTGACATTTCTGCAAGATGCCTGGGATACATCCATCTGTGACATCTGGGGATCTGTGAGGTTCTGTGAGTCTAGAACCACCCAGGATTGAATACTAGAGTCCTAGAGGCTTGGAATGCTAGTCTTAGGCTCTTAGATTTCAAGGTATTCAGTCTGGTTTTAATTTGTTAGGTGTGTCAGTCTCAGGATCCTTGTTTACTCACTAGTTTCAGGACTTTGAGTTTGATGAGGTGCAAAATGTTCCCCAAAGCCTTAAGGATTGAAGGTTATTAAAGCTTGAGGCTTTTGGTACTCAAACGCCCCTTTGCAGTCTCCAGAGCAATAGGTTTTTGGGTTCTTGTGGTTTGAGAAATTCCTCAAGGAATTGAATCATTTGAGCCCTTTTGAGCTCTGAGGGTTAGAGGTGTACAGTGACCATTGGGGCCTTAGTGTCTTCTAAGTTTGTTAAATTCCTAGTGGCTGGACCAATGGGGAGACCTGAGATCTCTGAATATTTAGAAAAACCTCAGAGCCATTCACTTTGCAGCACCCTTCCTTGCATCGTAACATTTTTTTTTATCGTCTCGCCTCATCTCATAAAGGTCTACACATCAGCCAAACAACTAAATTGCGTTTCCTTTTATTATATTTTGTATAATTTGAAGTTATAAATCTTATTAAAATTTGTGAAATCTGAAATAATTGTCTAGATTCTTTCCTAATTGTATGGCTTAATAAACTGGTTTACTGAATTTGCCATGTTACATTAATAGCTTTTTTCAAATAGAGGAACTAGCAAGAACGTCTGGATCTCAACCCATTCTTTATGTCCAGTAGTTCAGCATTTTAAGAATCTTCCAGTTGTATTGAAACATTTTATTGTGCCCTTTATAGTTTTACTTTTTTATGTACTTTTACTTATTTTAGGTACACACAGAAGAATCAGAAATAGTAGGGGATTCAATTACTAGAAGCATAGATAGTTATATGTACTAGTGACAGGGAGTCCCATGTGGTTACAACTGATACAAGGTCTTTATTGGATCCAGCATAGTTAAAGTATCTGCACAATAAATTTAAAGAGTAAGGTAATAAGCAAAACAGAAAATCTGTGGTTGTTTTTGTTGAAATACTACCACATCCTATTTCTGTGCATCCAGCTGAAGCAAAAATATTAAAAATGGCTTAAAAACTGTTAACCTTCCTGCCTATAGCTAAAACATCCTGCAAACTACTCTTAATGTAGAAAAAGTAGCTAATATCTTTGTATTCAATTCTATCTCCTTCCAAGATTGCACGTGAAAAGTCAAGCCAGAAAGAGATTCGTTCTCAAGTTCTGGAAATAAACCTGACTATGGAATTCTTAATTCCATAGTAAGTTCTTAAAGCTGAAGTTCTGAAAACATTACACTAATAGTAACTAAAAAAGCAAGGTAACCCGACTGCCTTCCTCCCATTCGTAACTTTTCTTGTGTTCTAAAACTCTGCAAACTTTCTTACTTGGTAGCCTAAATTATATATAAATTATATAATTACATAGAGGTAGGGAAATTGTATAAAACATAGCTGTTATGGTTTTAAAAGTGTAACACCCATGTGTGGTTCTGTTGCTATTTGTTCTAAAGAAAAACACAAATGTCACGCATAAGTTTTATTTTCTTTCAGGGAATTGCTTTTAAATAACAATCTGTTACGTTTTTTGCCTTATGAACTTGGACGGCTGTTCCAGTTGCAAACTTTGGGTTTGAAAGGTATTTATCTTTTATATTTTTTTAATTTAGTGCACCTTTTAAACTATGTTCAGTACAATTCAAAATTTCAGGATTCTTGTGGTGGGGGGGGCATCTGTGAACAGAACAATTCTGATGATTTATCTACACTAGGGGTTTCCAATCTTGGACTTGGAGGCCCATAAACCTGCTGGACTTTGCCCCAGGAAAAATGTGTTTCACAATCTGAAATCTTAATTGCCCTAATAAATTTGATTCGTTTTCAGCTTTTAAACATGTTGGAGGTTGCCTTCTAGCTATTTTTAAAAAGTCCAAACTTTTTGAGTAGAAAAATATTTCAAATATTCCAATCAAGCAATTTGTGTTTAATTAAGGCTTCAATAAGATATTTAAGATCAAATAGAATGAAAAACATTGGTAATTTCTGTTCAACACAACGATCTCTGGACCTGAGGTACTAAATATTGACAGCTGGATTCTATGCAGTTGCAAGTCTTCATCGAATCCTTAATTATTTACATTTTTTTCTGCAGCACATACAGATGCAGCCATTCAAAGCAAGCGGGGTACACTGTGGTATAACGTGGTATAACACGTCATTCCGGAAATTACCATATGTAAATTAGATGATGATAAAAGTATTCGGAATGACCTTGTAAAACCACCAGGAGGAGCTAATAAAGCTTAACCTCACATGTACAGCATTGGAGCTTTTAAATTTAAACTGTGTATTACAGCATGTTAATCATCATTCATTAAAAAGTTTATATATTTTCTGAAAGCAAGATTGCTCAGTTGGGCAAAAGTACACAACCTACCTTTATCATAAATATTTTAATTATGCAGAAATATTTTATGCATCAGTCTTTACTGAACATATTACTAATAGTATTAATAATGAATGACCTTGGACAAGCTGTAAAATAAAAGTATTACCCTGGTCCACATTCTTTGTAATCGTCTTTGTAAACGAAAAGACTAAATTTTTTCATTGACAAAAAGTAACACCACCGCGTTTAGTTGATCCAATCACATATTCGTTTCCAATCATACAAAGTAAGTCTTGAGAATCTCTGATTCACCATGCCTTTCACATGCTCATAAACTTTAGGAACATAAACATATTATGTAAACTGAACTGTATATTGCTGGTCTTGGTAGTTTCAAGAAAAAATACACACCAGTATTCCGTTTCTCCCTAAACATTTTAAGCATCAAAGTCTTACATGTGGTTATTTCGGAAACATTTTTACGTGCTCCTTCTGACCATATTAAGATTATATACTTTGTGAAAAGTGATAGTCTTTTACCTTTTCTGTGAATTTGCTCGTTATCAGCTTAAATGCATACTTTTAGAATTAGATTAACAAGGAATATAATATAGAATCGCGTATCTAAGCAAATTAATAACGATATAATTATATTCATGTACTGTCTGGCGGAATAAACTGAAGAGTTAATGCGACACAGAATTATTAAGAGTTATCACTCTTTTTACACTTGAGAACATTCCACTCAGTGGGCAATGCATTATCTCAATAACCTGCTAATTCGTTTACACCATGGGAAGACAGGAGAATGTGATTTTACTGTATCTGTACGGAATGTGTTTCCATTAATACAGTAATTGATTAAAATCGCAAACGCGTGTTTAATTAAATGCCTTTTTTGAGTCACAATCTGACAATGAAAACCGGGTTAAAGTAAGCTTGAAGTTCAAAAACAATTTTGGCAGGCCTATAGCATTTTCACGAAACCTCCTCGAGTTGTGAGAACACTTGCTTTGTGTATAAAGTACATTCACTTTGTTGTTTTTTTGCCATTTTTTGACCACGCACGGATATTCTTAGGTCCATATCTTCACAAGGGAATCAGTGTGAATTTTAATACTAATTAAATGACCGCGGGCACTTTCCACCCCCTCTACATTAGCAGAGTACAATAGGCTAGCCTTCTAATGAAAGACAGTCCACCCTTCCCCCCCCACAGACAGGAAAAGTGCAGGCAGTAACAGTAAACCGTAACATGGTCAGAAGGAGCACGTAAAAACGTTTCCAAAATAACCACATGTAAGACTTTGATGCTTAAAATGTTTAGGGAGAAAGTGGAATACTGGTGTGTATTTTTT